CGCCCCCCCCCCCCCCGCCCCAGTTTAAATCTCTAGAAACAATGACGATTCGTAAAAGCACGACAGCGAATTTTTTGGAATAAGCTTCGAACAGCGAGAATACCAACGAGTTAATTAATTACGAAATAGAAGAAGATGAAATACGTGATCGTCGATCGTGAACGAGTGGAAGAATAGAACTTAAAGAGCATCGACGAGAAATGAAATTCGGTGTGGGAAGGTTTGGAATGCTTCGCCCTCCCCCTCTTACCAACTACGCATACCCTTTTCCGTCTCCGCGGTCCCATCCACACTCGCGTCCGTCACCTACGATTCGCGATCGATGATACGTCGGCGACTCGTTGGCTGTCTACTGCCCAAACAAGAACACCCGGATTGCATAACCGCGCGATAAGATGTTCCCGCGGTCCTCTGCTCGCGAAATCAATGGTTACGTGTCCGTGACAGTTGGGCTCGCACCGCTACCCAGGCCGGAGTGATGATCCTCGCGTGGGAAAAGTGTCATATCGAAGACGCCGGGAAACTTTTGGTGATTTTTAATTCGACGCGTTCGTAAATAGAAATTGCGAAAGTTGTGTTAGCTGCGGGATTGTGCGCTCGGGGCGCGTTAACGCTGATTTCGCTTCGAATTCGACACCAAAGGCTTGTGCTTTGTAACTGGAACCTGGCGCTCGCCGCTCGCTCGATAATTAAATGTGCCGGAATTATTTTAGCTTCGGAATCTCGGTTGAAATTGCTTATGTAACGCCCCGGATGACCATCGATGACATTTCCAGCACATCCAACGGCAGATAATAAATCATTACGTACGAGGAAGAGAAGGATTGGGGAGAACCCGATTAATCGCATAATAAAATAAAGAATCCGGCAGATGATTGATAATGTAAAACATTATCAACTCGTGGTTAATTATGAGCGACTGTCACTCGTAGGATATCCTAATATTCATAATATTGAATACTAAAGACAAATTAACGTCATTTCCATCTTTACGCGAACTCTCGATTCGTGCGATGTGCACCGCTTTGGTTTGCGCTTGATGATCGAAAGCACCGATCCCAACTCTCTCCTCCTTCCCCCCCCCCCAATCGACCATATTTAACCCGTCAAATTGCGCTCGCGCCATCGACTCGCGAATCCATT